TTCATCCTGTTAGTTCAACTTTCCAATTATTTAAATAGTTCAACGTATAACTGATAATATTCGTTATCGTCTTTATGTGTAGTAGGAGAATCAGGACATTATGTCTTTGTGCTTCTATCAGTAGGAGTAAGTAGGAGCACGAGGAAGAGCGAACATGTAAGTTGAACTAATTAAGATTACCCAGTTATAAGTATTTCACCCAAGTTCCGCAAATTTAGATCCTCTGCCTTTTTCTAGCCTCTCGCAGTGACCTATGGTTCTCAGTTGCTCATTCGAAAAGTAAACTGAAATTCAAATATCCAAAGACGGAAAAAGGGTTCAAAACGTATATAATAAATAAAAAATAAATAAAACTTTATTCTTCAACAGAAAACATACAACAATATTTAAAATAAAACAATTAAATCTATGTCGAAGAAAAGGTAAAAGCCTCAGGAATTTGCTGGTTTTCAGGCTTCACCTGGCAAGTTTTCGCCCCTGGCGACCATAGCATATAGAAACGGGTACCTTTTCGGTTATATGTTATATAAATAGGAGGGTACGTCACTCACCATCTACGTTTTCTATAGAAATAACAAACTTTAACACGCCATTATTTCCATCGCGCCGACGCTAGATGGCATTAGTTGTACTCTGAAACGCGCTATCGTTTTGTTAATTCCAATAGTATAAGTCATTTCATGTTTTGAATTGTTAACGCTTCACATAGATTTACGGCTCCTCACAATAGCCCAATTCATGAAACAGGCATCATGGAAATACTTCGACTCTGCTCCTCACCACCTCAACCCCCTCGTGGTGGCTGCATCCTCTTACGACCCCCTCAGGGAACAACCCCACCGCGTAAACAGGACCCGTCGGCCAAGGGAAGTCCTCAACGACCCTGACGACACTCGCCATTTTGAAGGCCAACCAGATCGCTAGTCAGTCCCGTGTCTCACGTACCAACCGTCCTAGCCGGCGAGGTCGTAGAGCCCCTCATTTCAGCACGTACACTGGTAGAGTCTCTCTTAAAGCACGCCATCTGGCGGAAGTCTCCAGTAGCGCCCTGAGCCGAGGTCCGTGCCCACTTGGGCTCCCTTAGCCCCTCTACTTAGCTTTAAGTTTATATTAAGGGTTATGAGCCTTCAGCTCGCTCTTTTCTCTGGTGGCGCAGTCAAGGCCATCAGCGGCCAACTGCAAAATATCCGTCAAAAAAAAGAATTGTTAACGCTTTCTATAGCCATAGCACTTGCACTGAACGGTACTTAAGTTGTTGAGACGACTCGGTCCTATTCCTGCTACGTAAGATTTGGCACTGAATTGTGTGCTTTCACGCTAGTGAGACATACTGTTGGGTCTATAACCCTGTAAATTTACCCTTTTTGATAATATACGCCTTTCTACACTGAAATCTGCGTCACCACGCTACAAAACCTAAAAGAAATACGTACCGACCACCGAACATACTGCACTTAGCAGCAAAGAGCATTTCACTGTGTACATAGAATACAACAAGCAGCTAATGGAATTTAGAAGAATATAGAATTAGTACATTTTTAATTGCAATTATAATTACAATTCTATTGTTTTAATTGACTTAACAGAGCCTACGTCACCTTAAACCAACAGTATGATGTCTTCTGTTGATTAATAGCCATTCCATGCACTTACGTAATATTTCATTATATAACAAATATTTCAGACTAATTTTTCAATTGTCTCTTGACGTCGGTCCATTGGGTACTAACAAAGTTCTTTGCGTAAAAATATGTCACTTACGTTAAAAATAGTTTTTTTTTTCATAAAAAACAGTGTCATATTATAAAGAGAAAGTTAAATAAACTAGCTGTTCTTGACGGTCGAGTAAGATTATGCTTCTATGATATTCAAAATTAGCTATATACGAGGTTAAAATTTATAATCCATGAAAGTGATATGTTTACTTCAGGTTGTTTCTATTTATATTTTAAAATTAATATTGTAAAGGATAAAGTGAACGAATAGTTATATATTTACAAAGAGTAACCCCCACAACTTTGACTCATTCTTTTTTTTATCATATCAAGTGACGGGACGAACAAGGACGAAGAACGCCTATCCATAACAGTTGCAATGCCACTCAGAGGTTTAAATCGCAAAAATGTTATGGGCACTGCCACTGTGCCCGTCACCCTGAGATATAAGTTCACAAGTCCCATGTGCCTGTAATTTTACCAGCACCCTTACCCTTCGAAACCGGAACGCATGTTCACATTACTGCTTAGCGATAGAAATAGGTAAGATGGCAGTACTTCCCTGAACGAACTCTTTTTTTTTACAAGGAGCTCTACTGCTACTAAAGTATGTATGTTACTCGATAGCTCCGGCATTTTTTAACCGATTTTGGCAAGATATCTGAAATCTATTTAAGCATGTTTATATGCCCGCATCCTTTTTCAATCATTTCAGTCGTAATTCTTCTTACTTATCAATATATAAATATTGATTTGTTTTACGCCCTCTGAAAGTTATCAGAGTATCTATAAATACAACCACATCATGTATTATTTGCTCCAAGGCTTCGATTGCAATTAAGTCTTCTACAGTAATTGGTCTAATGCGGAAAATGTTAACTCATCTTTACTAATTGACATATCTTATGTTTGTTAACAAGCTGTTTGTGCATTAAATTAACCTATATAACTTGAGTATTGAGATAATTAAAGATGATTTTTTTTAAATAGACAAATGTGATTTTTTTTACCTTTTTAATAGCTATCATACGGAAGTAAATGTCATTCATATAATCAATGAGAAAGTGTGAATAGATGGACGTTTGTTACTCATTATTATGAAACGATCAAACGGATATTAGGGTATTCCAATCTGAACGAATTTTTCGAAGATACGTAGTAAATAATATGCCTTAAATATATAATATATAGAAATAAAATAAACAGGAGTAAAGTGTTATAGTTAATAGCTAGCATGGTTAAGTTTTTTGAGACTGTTTAATTGTTTTACAAATTGTTTTTATTTATAAAATAGATGCCCTCTGCCCTTCATTGCTATGCTGTACATGGTATCATATAATATGGACCTACGTGTTATTTAAGACCACTGTAAATTGTATATGGACCAATAAGTGTATTTATTAATTTAATCAAGAAATATACAGGAACGGTACAATAAAAGCTTAAATACTAGAAAGAAAGTAAAACTAGGATTTTATATTTTATATATTATGAATAAGGTTTGGTCCCCGCGGCAAGTGCTCAAGATGCTGGCAGTGTTCCCCTCTTGAATGGCTATGCTAATGCGTTGGGCAAGGTAGCTGTCAAGGTAGCTGCTGTAACACCCGTATAGGTACTCAAACTACGAACAAAGAGCCTACTTAAAATGGGAACAATATATGTAGCTATAATATTTAGTAGTGCCTACACCGCAAATCACACCTGTACCACTACCACGAGTTTACTGTACTGACAATCTCTAGAGGTCGTATGAAATATATGTTCAGCATCTACTAACTACTGAGAAACTGTTCAATATGCCACACAAAAATGACAATACTTTAGCGGTCGTTAACGTCTATGGACACCGTAGACCCGTGGTACAGGTGATGACTAATATCGAACCGTGTACACCAATGTCGACTCTACCTGCCCCGGCGCCAATCGCTCGACCCTTCCGCTCGTTGACACAAATATGCCTGGCATAGATAAGATTCTAGGAATTCTCACTATGAAGCATTTGAAGCAAGTACCAGGACCTGTGTTGTTTTGAAAAACATGTAGCTTCTTTTGTTCGTTGTTCACGCAGTTTCGTATAATAAAAATATGATTTTTAAGGTTTTAAAGATTCATATTAAATAGTATATGGGTATATAATGGAGCTTAAATAAAGTTCTTGTCTGATAAATTTATTAAAGAGGCAAATATGCAATCTCCGCTGTTAGCAGTTTTGTGCGAAGTAAATAATATTTGTTCTAATAAACATCGCAATAGTGTTAAAGATGTATTTATTGGATTCACATTTGCGATTTGAGGATTGTGTTCATATTTGTATCGGATACCGTTTTTTATTTTGTACATGAAGCAATAAATAAGTGATGAATTTATTGCAAATCATAACACGTAATTGACGAGGTCGTGTTCAATGTTAATAACGAAATATAATATACTCAAACTAAAATTAGTCTTGAATAGAAAATTACTCAAACATTTTTAATTGCATAATTGTAGACATAGCTTTTTATTAATGCAGTCAGTAATGCATAAGGCGTGCTCCTGCTTTAGTGTTGACTGTAAATTCAGATTTACATTTACATCATCCCTTTGAATGTAGCCAGAGTTGGAATACACTGCCTGTGTCTGTATTTTGCTGTGCACCGGTTGTATGAACCTGATATCTTTAAGAATAAGAGACGTAGGTATCTCCTATGCGAGCTCTATCCATGACCTATTTAATTCTAACTTATTTCGGGATTATAGATTCTACATAAAAATACTTAAGCAGCTAATGTATGGAAACACATCTTTAAATTGAACTCTAAAACTGTTAAAATACGGTTTGAAGTCCAAAGTGTTTATTACTGTGGCTAACCTGCAAATTAGTATAGTTCGACTGATCAGCCACCTATCAGGTTCAAACCTAACGGTTAGGCTAAGACAATGTGTAATAAAGAACTCAACACTTCGACCCATCTTTACAGACAAAGGGTTATAAAATCTGCCTATGATCTAACAAGATGAATAAACCAATACTCAAGACCTGTTTAGGTAGGTTTGTAGTCGTATATTTCGAGTGTACAAACACAATATTAAAGACATAATTAAGAATACGTATATATTGTTTATATTAAAAGTTTCCGTGATTGTATCGATGTAAACAAAATTATAAGCTAATGTAATAGCAAATATAGTCTGTACTATCGTTTAAAAATTTGTATAAAAAAATTGTATTTTTGTGTATTTGTAGCGATAAAAATTTAAATACAATTACTTAAAGTAAAAAGAGTTTTCAAGTTACTTACTCACCCTTTAGTTTTAGGTTCCGAAGAGACATAGAATCCAGACTAAATCAGCCAAACTTGCACACGTACTAAACAAACAAATAGCAACTCAATATATAGAAGACTTCCAATCTGGTTTTGTGATACCGCTATGCATTTAAGACGCATACATGTCTACTTTTTTCTTTAACACACTTATATATGTATTCGTACAAAATATGTATGTACGTAGCACTATTTATTTATGAGAAACTGTATTATTTTATTTATTTATATGCCTTTGTTCGTTGATAAAGAGTTTCGTTCGATCGTTTTCGTGTGATACAACCGGTGTGGCGAGCGCGATACCTGCCTACGACCCGTCGAATAATGGACTGTGCGGCCTGTATGTTGTTCTGTGTTGACGTGATATTTCTTTGCCGGTGTGCGTGTGGAGGCTTTTGCTGCGCGTGCGAGTGTGCTGTGTTGCCTAGTTACGGAAATACCCAATGTCTATGGTATGGTATTATGATTTCTGCAGTAATGAGATGTTTTAATTTAAAATGTGATATACTTTGTGATGAATGAATGTATGAAATGAATGAAACTGTATCAAAATAAGCTACTGTACAAAAGGTAGCCTTATTGTTTTAATAACAATCTTTTCAGGATATAGGATATGTGCAATTAAATAATATTTTAAAAATAACATACATATAACTAATAACATATGTACTTGTGTGAAAGTGCGGAAAGGGAAAGGGAAGATACAGCCCTCGACCCGATCCGCCGTCGGAGAATTGGTCGCAGAAAGAGAGCTATGGCTCTCTAGCTGCCGGCGTAGGTGGTAATGGGTGGCGAAAGCCCCCGTGGTATGCGTCCATGAGCGGCATACTAAGAAGAGTCTGTCACTCGTTACTGGTGGACTCGAAATGGCGGCGTACGTGTTCCACTTCTGCCTCTTAAGATTGCTGATGGGGAGACGAGAACTCTCCCCGAAAAGCGAGATGAGGAAAGCCGCGGAGTCGTAGAAGAATGCGTAAGCGTCACCGTGTGTCCGGCACATGGTGCGGAGATGGAGCACTGTCAGGTTTTAGTCGGTAGTAGTCCGATATAACCCTTCGCCTCCCGAGCGGAGGGTATCCATGACGATTACCTGATGTAAAAAGAAAAGGTTCAAGCAGGGGTATCAGAGGTCATGTTTAGAAAAAAGAAAAAAAAAGCGAAGCCGAACGACCAATAGATGGTATTTCTCGCTCATTTTTTGTCTCTGCTCTAAAAAGAGCAAAACAGAAAACCAAAAACTTCGATTTTGTGCGGAACTTTAAAGAACTGATTTCTTTATTAGCAACACGAGTGTTTTCTAAAAGTGACAAGCAGATGACTCCACTCCACCTGATGTTCAATCTTTCCACCCTCTAAGTGTTAAATAGAATGGACGTGCAGGAACCTATATACTAAAAATAATTTAGGATGATCCCTGTGTTCTTAAAAATCTACATAATATAACCTGGTAACGACTATGTAACGACATGCACTAATTTACTTTTTTATAAACAATTTTTATAAGCCTCGCTTTTAAATGAATAGCGTTTGTTTATGTAAAAATAACGCAAATTAATATTTATATGTAAGAAATGAGCGGCAAAGCCTTTTTTCATAATTCAATAATTTTTTACGACAATATATTGGTCTTAGATATCATCAGCAACTCATTATACGTAATAATACAAAAAAATATATCAACAATAAACCTTCTATTATGAAGTAGCATATCAAATAAGTATACTAATTTGTATTATGAAATACATACACACGCACTATAAGTTTCCGGAACTGGCTGCTTACATAAACAATATTTAAAAAGTGATTACATTTGAAAATGGAACTCTTTGGCTGTAGAATATAGTTTGTTTCATCTGACTGTCACTTGTTTTTACATTGTGGCGTTATTTTAAAAATTGGTTGTCTACTCACCGTGGATTTAACTCGTAGTATGATTTTCGTAGTATGATTTTCTAAGACTTTAAGTTTAATGTAATAGCTCAGCGGAGCTTCGCTCGGCCTCAAACTGCTTTTGGCAATAAAGCATCATGCAAGACGACTATTTATAGCTGGTTTGCAGAATTCAAACGCGGTCGTGTGAATCTCAGAGACGAATTTCGTGATGGTCGCCCATCCACTGCTGTGAACAACAAAAACATCGATGTTGTGCGCCGTATGATCAAAACAGATTGGCATGTGACATACCATGAGATTCGGGCATCTTTAGGCATAGGCATGAGTCAAATACAATCAAATACAACACAAACATTTGGGTGTGAAAAAGCTGTGCTCTCGGTAGATCCCACACAATTTGACTGAGGCTCAAAAAACGGATCGCGTCAGTTGACGCAATGCTATGCTTCAACGAGGGGGCGTCAAATTTGGTGTGGAACATATAACAGGTGACGAAATATGGATTTATAGTTACAATCCCAAAACAAAGCAGCAATGGAGCGTATGGGTCTTTCGAGATGAGCCGAAACCAACCAAAGTGGCGCGCGTGGAAGGTGCCTCTAAGCGGATGATTGCTTCTTTTTTTAATAAAACTGGACACATGGCTACTGTTGGTTTGTAGAGTCGTTGTACCGTGAATAGTGATTGGTACACGACCATTCGTTTGCCGGAAGTTATTGACAAACTCCGTAAAAATAACCGTAAACGCCGTATCATCTTGCACCACGATAATGCCAGTTCTCACACGGCCAGGTAGACAAATGAGTTTTTGAAGGTAAACAACGTTGATCTTATGAACCATCCCGCGTACAGTCCCGACACCTTGTAACTTTTATTTATTTCCAAAAATTAAGAACCAGTTACGTGGTCAACGATTTTCATCACCTGAAAAGCCTGTCGAAGAATATGAAAAATATGTTTCAGAGATTGTCACGGAAGAGTGGCATGTTTTCAAAATTGGTTCATTCGTATGAAAAGTGCATTACCGCTAACGGAGAATATTTTGAGAAACAATGAATTCATTTCTGATCATTTATAGTATTTTCTTCTTATTCATTCCGGAAACTTATAGTGCGCCTCACGGAATATTAGTAGTTTTGGTCATCCATAAGCGGCCACATGTTCTGTAAAAATTAAAAAGTTACAAACGATATGGCTGGCTGAAACACCCTATTAGAAAGAGGCGCGTTACTACTTTGTAGTTTTGTTTTTTAACTTAATGCGCGGTCCAGTTTAATATACAAGTCCGTGATTATAACCTATTTGACAGTAATTTGTTTCGGACAGCTGAGCTACTGTCACTATGGGAAATAGTAGAACAGCAGCGTATCAAAAATCGTGTTTACTAATATCTTAATTAAGATACACATTTAATTTTATTTGACAGTTTAGATGTCATACTTTATTATACTGAAGGTTTTTTTAAGTTAGATAGGTATATTAATTTAATAAAAGTACATCCAAAATGTCCTTTCCCATACTTATCTCGTTGTGCTGTATAATTTTGGAACTTTCGGCGTCGCTATTCGTAGGTATTGATTTTGTTAGATAAGCATGTGTTTTTTTTATATATTTCTATAAAGCACATCTAACGTAAATGTCAAAAATAGTTGATTTTTCTTAAATTTGTTGTGTATTGCAAAGAAAATAAATCATAATTAAATATGGGGACATAAACCTATCTCTATTAAATTCATCAAAGGTGTTGACTGTTAGCGAAGCTTGCCGAAGCTTCGAATTTGGTGTTATTTTATAGCGTAGGTATTCATTATCAAAATTTTATAAAAATCAGCTGCGGTTATTTGCGGTTTCTAAAGATATGAAAGTAATCACAACAAATGTCCTACCGTAGAAAATACCCATAACAATGCAACGCGATAAGATAATATACGGTTGCATTTATCTCATTTATCAATATTATTCACACTACGCCATTACTATATAATGCTCGGACACATTAATTTCATAAATTTATTAATACGAGCAGTCGTTTGTTACTGAATTACTTTTCCAACTCCTTTGAAATTGAATTCTTTCAAATGTTTCAGAAGAGAACGAATACTTTGCTACATTGAAGGTGGAAGAAATATATCGGCTCTAGAAACATTTTTTTCAGATTATCATGAAGTTTCGGAGGATAATTTACGTTTCATAATTAGTGATTTAAAAAAAATCAGTTTAACAGTCGATGGAGCCAAGCATCACGGAAGAAGCCTTTTGAGGGTTAACAGTGATTGGTTGGATCAAGAGTTTTCTGTTACTTTGTCAACGACTATCGATTTCACTCCATCTACTTCAACTAGAAAAAGAGGAATTGGTATTCCTCGTTTTCCATATATTGGTGTATATCTTATGAAAATTCTTCAGAATCTAGCAAGATGCGCAAAAATACTACACTACGTATTGAATATGGTATCGAACACTTCTTTGGTGAATATATTCAAGGACTACGATCAAACGAAGAAAGTAATGAAGCAAAGTTCGTGGAGGTATTTAGGTTTGTAGATGCAGATAAAAAAATATTAGTGTTAAAATTGATGTACAATTGCAATAACATCCAAATGCTGAGCAATCAAGAAACATTAAGTGTATTTATTGAATTCAGTAATATATATATTTGAATAATATTATGGGTGAACGGAACTGTTTCTTACTACCACCTTATTACAAAGTACAAAAAGTAAATAGAACTGTTACCCACCTGCATTTGCTATTGAAATTACAAACATATGAGCAAAAATGTTATCGCTACAGGATTTATTAGATTTTGCATATTTCGTACAACCTTACGAAAAACGGTCGCTAAAAGCTATGAGTGACGAAAATAAACGAATGAAACGAGAGAAGAAAATTATGGTATAAAGACGCTTTCGAGACGAACTTGGATTAATAATTGATAAACCACGACAAGTAGGTGGTAATACCAATGACGGTAACACAGCGAGAAGGTTTTTTATAATGCAGTCTGCTCTGCTGAAATTACAGGAGTATATGAAATATTGAAAAAAAGACTCCTTCAAGCCTTATTGCCTGGCATAATGATAGATTCTCAAAAATATGGGGAATATGAATTGGAAACCGCAAGAAATAAATATGATTGGTATTATATCTTCGGCACACAAAATATTGTTATTCACAGAGAAGGTATAATTAACCATTTGGCAGTGTTACCCATTGGGCAACTTTCAGAAGACGCTTAAGAATCTCGCAGTAAAGACTCTCTCGCAAAAATTTAGATTACGAAAGAGAAAGTGCTCAAGATCTGCTGCAAAGGAGCTTGATGTGGAGACGCTACGTCTGTAGAAAGTGAACCAATTCGCCACTGATTCTGAAAAAGATACTATATATAAATAATATATAACAATATATAATAAATA